AACAAACTGACTTCTAATAATGGATTCACTTATAAGCAGCCACGACCCAGAAGTGTAAGAAAAATGCTCTTGAGAACAGCACAAGTGTCGTTATTAACTTATAAGAGTCCATTATAATTGATATCATTTCAATAGTTTTTTATCACGTATTCATTGCTCGAGGTCGTTATGTTGGAAGCAAATAAAAAAGATATGTGCATTACTTAATAAAAAAGAAAGACAAAAACGACACAACTGTCGTTACTGTTTAGAAAACGGTACAAGTATCGTTCTGTCTCTGAACAAGTGTATTAAGGGCCACGATCTTTCCGAGCCACGATAATCGATAAGCTGAACTCATTTTAGTTGAGGATGGACATGCCTCTTACAACATTCAATAGATATGGTTATTACTTAATCAAAAAGAAAGACGAAAAAGACACAACTGCCGTTATTGTTTAGAAAACGGCATAATTGTCGTTCTGCCTCTGAACAAGTGTATTAAGCGCCGCGATCCTTTCGAGCCACAATAATCGATAAACTGAACTCATTTTGGTTAAGGATGGGTACGCCTCTTACAACATTCAATAGATATGGTCATTACTTAATTAAAAAGAAAGACGAAAACGACAAAACTGCCTTTACGGTTTAGAAAACGGCACAAGTGTCGTTCTGCCTCTGAACAAGTGTATTAAGCTCCACGATCCTTCCGAGCCACGATAATCGTCACCTAATCATCATTTTCAGCCTTCCCAAGTTAGGGAGTCCAATTCGTGAGATCGTTCGGCTGGTTTAGTAGAAAAATATTGATGAAATCAACAGAACGACACAAGTGTCGTTTAACGGCACTTGTGCCATTCTGCTTGGAAACACTTGTGCCGTTCTGCAGGATGGAAGCGAAGCTTACAAAGTTCGGGAGATGTGCTCAATGCTTGAACTTCAAATCGAATTTTGACCAAACATGTTGATGATAACGGCACAAGTGCCGTTATTATGAAAAAAAGGACACTTGTGCCGACAATGGGATGAGAATATTTATTGGATGACTGTTGTACTATGTGTAAATAAAATTCAATGATAAAGACACTTGTGTCGTACTGTCGTTCGTGGTTAGGAAAAGATTGCAAATGGACGCGAAAGCGCAGAAAATGACACTTTAGCCGTTACTGGTTTGAGAACAGGCAAAAGAACGACAGAACTGTCGTTCTGTTTGCAAAACGAAATTAGACGAGCACGACACT